TGGATTCTCCATGTGGACGACTCCTCAAATCAGCAAGGTAGCGGAGCTGGTATCATTCTGTATAGGCCAAGCGGGGTGAAGCTGGAGTATGCACTTCAGTTCGAGTTCACCGCGTCCAATAATGAAGTGGAGTACAAAGCATTGATAGCCAGGCTTGCTTTAGCGAATAAAGTATGAGCCAAACACAACATTATCTGCAGTGACTCCCGACTCGTGGTCAACTAGGTCACCAGCGAATATGAAGCTTGCAAGCCAACCATGGTCGCCTACCTAGCCAAGGTCAGAGAAGCTCTGTGCGGTTTTCAGTCTTACTTCATCAGGCAGATCCCGAGGTCTGAGAATGCTGAGGCCGATGCCTTGTCCCAGTTAACTAGCACAAGCAACAATACCATGAGGACCGTGTACATAGAGAACCTGCCTCGGCCCGGCATTCTCAGGGGGAAAGAAGAGGTCACTCCTGTTGCACAAGCAGAGCCGAGCTGGATCGATCCACTCACGAGCTTCTTGCTTCACGGAACCCTCCCTGCAGATCGCAACGCGGCTAGAAGGGTAGAGCGACAGGCAGCCAAGTATGTCATAATAGATGGACGGCTGTACCAAATATCCTACATGCTTCCCTACTTGCACTGCTTGCGACCCTCAGAAGCCGAGCCCGTTCTCCGCGACATTCATGAGGGCATGTATGTATGGCGGACACTTGGGGGTAGGGCTCTCGCCTAGAAAGCGCTGCGACAGGGGTACTATTAGCCCACGATGAAGGCAGATGCGCTTGAGCTCGTCAAAAGATGTGACAAGTGTCAAAGGCATGCCAACGTCCACCACCAGCCTGCTGCTGACCTGAAGTATCTCATTAGCCCATGGCCCTTCGTGTAGTGGGGAATCAACATCCTTGGACCATTCCCGCCAGCGATAGGACAGAGGAGATTCTTGGTGGTAGTGATGGACTATTTCACAAAGTGGGTGGAGGCGGAACCTCTTGCGACAATCACAGCAAGAAGCGTGCAAAACTTCTTTTGGAGGAGCACAGTATGCTGCTTCGGACTACCTCGAGTGCTTATCTCTGACAACGGTAAGAAATTCGAGGATATCAAGTTTCATAACTAGTGCAACAAGATGGGGATACAGGAGAATTTCACCTCGGTGGCACACCCTCAAGCAAATGGTCAAGCAGAAGTCACGAACAGGGTCATCCTCCATGGACTGAAAGCACGCTTAGCCCGAGCTAAAGGACTATGGGAAGACAAGCTGCCCAGTGTACTATGGGCTTATCGAACCACTGTGAAGATCGCCATGGGTGAAACCCCCTTCAACCTCACCTACGGCATAAAGGCAGTAATCGCAACCGAGATCGAGGTGCCTACGCTACGCCTGGAGGCATATGATGAAGAGACAAACGATGACGAGCTACGCACCAACCTCAACCTAATAGAAGAGGTAAGGGACCTCACATACATCCGGACCATGGCTTACCAGCAGAGAGTGGCTCGGTACTATAACGCCAGGGTCAAGAAGCGGAACTTCCGCATTGGAGACCTGGTTCTTCGCAATGTCATGGTGCCTGAGCCCGGTGTTGGTAAGCTTGGACCAAATTGGGAAGGACCCTACCGAGTAAAGCAGGCGCTCGGGGAAGTTACGCACGAGCTCGAAACCTTAGAAGGAAAATAGGTGCCTCAGGCGTGGAACGTCAGCAATCTAAGGCGATACTACATGTGATCGTCTAACTGGAGAGTGGACTGCAAGTCACTCCCAGAAGTCTAAGAACTAAAAGTGCCGAGCTGATGAAAGACCTCAGCATTATATAAGCCCCAGTCGCCTCCTCGGCATGGGCAAGATCAAGGAGGGTGGACAATAAATTGCCACCAAGGCCTAAGGGCTAAAGTACTGAGTTGACGGACTCGTCACCATATAAGTCCCAGTCGCCTCCTTGGCATGGGCATATAAATCCCAATCGCCTCTTCGGCTTGGGTGATCAAGTCCCAGTCGCCTACTTGGCATGGGCACATAAGACCCAGTCGCCTCTTCGGCATGGGCATATAAGTCCTATTGGCCTGTTCGGCATAGGCAAAGTGCCTCTAATGCCTAAGGCATAGACAGCTCGGATATAATCCCTACGATGTCTAGCCCACTTCGGCATATAATAATAGGTCGGGCCCGTTAGGGGCAACTGACATCTAAATGAGTAGCCCGTGCGCGGATAGGTTGGGTATATACCCTGTAATGTCGCTCACCTTGGTGTACATTACATGAAGTTACCCCTACTAGTAGTCCGGGTAGACAATTTGGGGTGATTTCCACTTAGAAAAATTTGATTTTTGGTTATCCTTAATTATTGTCCAGCTCGGTAGCTCGACAATTCGGGTAACCTATACATTCGTTGCCCAGATCAGGAGTCACTCACACTTAGAATTATTTTGCACACAAGTTACTTAGAAACATTGTATTCCATTAATGAAAAAAGTGTACATCCATGATTCAAAAAAGAAGGAAAAAAGAAGAAAGAGCCAGAATCACGCAGAAGGACTACCAACCACATCCGAGGGATCCACCACTTTGACATCGTCATCGCTCTCCTCCTATAACGAGTCGGGCTCCTCGTTCGTTGCCTTGGCCACTCTGGGGGCTAAGCCCGACATCGTGATGGCACCGAGGTTGAGATCGGGGAACTTTTGTTGGACCAGATACCTGCACAGCTTGAACCTGGAGTGGTAGGAGCTTGAGCCATATTCGACCTGGAGAGCATGAAACTCTGAGGACTCCTTGAAGTGCTCAACGACCTGGTTTCTTTCTTCTGATCGTGCCTCCTAGATAGCGGTCTCGAAGATCTGGGTACGCTCTTGGACCATTGCTTCGAGATTTTTGACTTCTCGTTGAAGCCGCGCCTTCTCCTCAGTCATCATTGAGATCAGCCCCTTTTGCTTCACGTTCTCCTCAGTCACCGATGAGATCAGCTCCTTTTGCTTAGCGTTCTCCTCGGTCAGCGAGGAGATCTGTCCCTCCTGGTCCAAAATCAGCTACTTCTGGCACTCGGCTCCCTTTTTAGCTCGAAGTACCTCGCCCCGAGCTAGGTCTAGCTCACGGTGGAGCTTCCGTACCTCCACCTTGGCGTCCCGAGCCTCCTTTGAGCGGATCACAGACTGACAGGCCATTGCATGAAGAGCAGAATTCACCTATCAAAAGAAAATCTAGGTAAGTAAAAAAAAAGGGGCGGAACTGAAGGCATAATACTTACCACCATGCAGTGGCTGGAAGATAATCCCAAGAGCCGGGCCGAAGACATATCAGCCCATCGCGTGACCTCGTCTGAAAAGATGGCATCCTTGCTCTTGCGCACCGCGATCATGTGATTCATGATGCTCTCTTTCTCGCTCGCAGGGGTGCTCTCTAGCTCAGCAGCAACTGGCCCCTCTGATGCAGACGTGTTCTCTGGTTCCTGAGGACGAGTATCCTCCTCGCGGACCTCATTCACAACCACTTCGGGGCATGCAAGTCGGGCTTCCTCCCTGGGGGGCTCGGTGGAGATCGGCTTCGCGGCCAGGACCGCAGTTGGTCCAGAGGTTGAAGGCCCGACTTCCCGGCGAAGTCTCTTTGCGGCCTTCCGCTTCTTCCCCCTCTGGGAGCTCCTTAGGAGGCTCTCCGTGTCGACCTCTGGCATTGTAACTGCAAAAAATGAACAGTTAGTCAAGAACTTAAAGGGTATTTTAAGTAAATATCTGAAAGGAAACCTACCGGGAGGGCTCAAACCAGCTCGCACTAGCGCGTCCTCAGCCAAGAATTTTTTCATCTCAAGCCCGAGGTCCCTCCACGAGTTGATCACCGCCCTGGTCTCTCTGTCCAAGCTCACCCTGGGGTCTTGAGTAGCCACCCTCTAGTGGGTTGGGAAAGACCACCCTTCCGGGTTACGAGCTGTGAAGTATCGCCTTTTCCAGGCCGGAACCTTGTTCGGGCAGCCATGCAAGATTTTGAATCCGAGCCTGGGAGAGATGTAATAGCTCTGTCTGACGTCCCTGCGCAGACAGGCCGAGTTTCGCTTGATCGCATAGATCGAGCTGAAGGTATCCAGGGTTAGGGGTCGACCATAGGAGTGGAACAGGGAAATAGTGCCAACAATGTTTCGAATAGAATTCGGATGAATCTGGTCAATGATAATATTATAAAACTTAATTATTTCTACTAAGAAAGGGTGAAGTGGGAAGCGCAGCCCTACCGCGAGCTGCTCCTCAAAAATGGCGAGCTCATTGTGATCATGAGCCCAAGGGTATTGACCTAAAGGTAAGCTAAAGACCAAGCTATCGGGGAGACAGTGTGGAAGGCCCGAAGTCATCAGGATCCCAACCTCGGGAAGAAGTTGGGGCCCTTGATCTGAAGGACGGACCCTCTTCCTGAGCTTCGGTCTCCCCGAGCCGAGATGGCTCGACTTCAGGGTTAGAGGTTCCCTCTAAAGGCCGAAGAGGGGAGGCACCCTGTCGAGAGGTGACTTCCCCGGCAGGAACAACAACACCCTCCACCTCGCTAATACTATCTAAGAGCCTATCTATACTAGGACTCGACATGATTTGAAAAGCAGGAAAAAGCTAAAGAACGAGAACTCACCGAAAAGAAAGAACGAAGTGGAAAACGGAAAGAAAACCGAACTGGAAGACTTCGACGTGACCTCGGGGCGAAGGTACGCGTAATCTCTGCTCACTAGCTCCCTTACTTTCTAAGCTACCATCAGCTCGCAAATTACTGACTTAAGCATCGGAGCGACCTCATCGGCTAAGTGCCCCCGGGTTTTCTGATTCTCTTTATACAGATTAGTCAAATCTGTTGTCTACTTAAGCTAAATTATCTCCGGCTAGGAACAGCCGAATTGCATCAACTACTATTTTTGGATTAATGAACACCCGTTGTGAAAGTGGAGCAAAAGATGACTGAGCTGAATTTGTTGGATTCGGCTTCAGTCAATGCAAGGCCCGTTCGATTCGAACGGGCCAACCGAAAAAGGGAGGGAAACATACACATTTTTTTGCTGAAAAAAGGTACACATTGCAATATATATTCCTTAGGCCTTACATATCCGTACATGGTCACGGGTTACGCCCGGGTAATGGCGTAAATTTAGCGTATCAACTTTTTTTTTTACATCGTCCACCACCTCCACCGAATTCTGAATTCATTCACCGGCCATAATGATTGTAATTTGTAAATAAACTCACAATAGAAGACAAATTTAATTAAGAAGAGAAAAATAAAGAAAATGATACATAAGCTCGCAATCAAAATACTCTTGGTTTTGCCACAATGGTGGAGTGTTTCAGTATGTGCAAGCTGAATTGCCCACCCTTCTCTGTGGTGTCAAGCTTCGATTGTCCTGGAGGTGGCAAGAGCTCAAAATTCTGCACCAGACGACCCAATGTGATACCAAGGATTGGCAGCGCTAGTATAATTCCAGGGCAGCTTCTCCGCCCAACACCGAATGGGAGGTACCGGAAATCATTCCCGTTGGCCTCCACCTTGGATTCTTCCTCTAGGAACCTTTCTGGTCGGAATTCCTCTGGGTTCTTCCATTGCGCCGGGTTGTTAGCAAGCCACCAAGCGTTCACAAGGATCTTGCTCTCGGCAGGAACGTCGTATCCACCAAGCTTGGCATCGTGGAGGTTCATGTGTGGTACCAACAAGGGAATCGCCATGCGAAGCCGCAGAGTTTCCTTGATCACGGCCTGAAGGTATGGGAGTTTGTGGGTGTCGGGCTCTGTGATTTGTACACCGGGTCCAAGCACTGTGTCAAGCTCATCTCGAAGCTTCTTCTGGATCTCTGGGTGATTCACTAGCTCTGCAATTCCCCACTCAATCGACCACAACGTCGTCTCGATCGCTGATGACAGCAATAATACACACAAAGCCAAGGATTAGTCGTTTACTATCTGAGACCCGTGCGGTGAACGGAAGACTGGTGTTAGAAACGTTTTCCACCGTATTACATTCAGTTTTTTCATTTTTTTTTCCCATTATCTTAAATGAATTCGTTGGGGGTGAGTTTATCGGTTGTGGCCTTGTGGGTGAGCCGGTGATATGAAACTTAAAATAGAGTTCGAGAATTAAGCAATGAGTTAGGAAAACGGTTGCAACGACTTTCAACTGCAACTTATAAGGGCATTTTAGGTAATCGCATTAACTGGTACCCAGTGGTCATCATTCATCAATGAATTGGGTCTTGGGTCCCATAGTCCCTACTCAGTACCCCCCCACTACAAATCATTCACCAATCGCAAATCACATATAGCTATCGGTGTGTTATTGCGTTCAGCTAATCCTAACCAGTTATAGTGTCATGTGGGTTCTGGCTAGGGTCTTACATGTAAGAGAAATCAAGTTTTGCTTTTGCAAGTCTTTACAGATTCATATAACGAGAAAAATACTATAGTGGCGCTATGTAACAATGTTTATTCAATAAGCATCCAAGGTTCCAAATACCGCGAAAATATGATAAAAAAACGCTCCGTAAATAGCAGATCCGGACTCAGTGAGGACAGGACACAGGAGAGAGAAAGGGAAATGAAGAGAACACATCTGCGCCCCCACAAACGCCCCACATATGGGGGCGTTTATACTGTGCGGCGTAGATGTGAATTGGGAAATGAATTCCAGTGGAAAAGTATATATACACGAGGCACCGAGTCACTGTCTGATATCAGCTGAGCCAGTTGGCACCTTCTACTTGTTTTGGGGGTAACTGGGGCTTTTATACGGTACGATCTCATTAGTAATTCTGAGGTGGATTGAACTCAAATTATCCCATAATCAGAGGTCCTTCCTACAATCCTACCCATTCTTAAAAATTGGAATAAGGCGAAAATAAAGAACCAAAGAAGCCTTTGTCATGAAACTGCTCGCGGTACTTACCGGCAACATTGATGTTCTCGACGATGTACAGAACGTTGTCTTCGTTGATCTCCCCCTTCTGCTGGGCGTCGAGGATGTGATCTATGGCGCATTTTAGCCCATTGTGGTCCGTGGGTTTCGTGCTTGCAAGCTTCCTGTAACATGTCACTCACACGAGTCAGCAAACAAAAGTAGAAAATGACAGCCAATTAAACAGTCAACCGTCCCGACCAAGTACCAACTACCCAATTAAAAAAAAATAATGGATTTTTTGCTCCGACCAACTACCCAATTAAGCAGTCTAAAAATCCCATTAATTAATCAATTGCCGGTCTGCTTTTTTGCTCCGGCCGGCAAACGGAGGAATTGCCTAAGCTGCTGTAATGGCAAATTATTGGCAATAACAGTTTCAATCTTCAATTAATTGATTAATTAACATTAAAAACTAAAAGAAAAGAAAAGAAGAAAAACTCACTTCCTCTCTTCTAGGAAATAGTCCTTGAAGAGCTGCAACCTCATTTCCTTGACCTCCTGACAAATCCTCAGATATCCTTTCAAGAAAGGTCTTAAAATGGGAATAAAATCTCCATAATTGTACTCAAAGCTCTGAGCCAACCTACTTCTCTCCCCGTTCAATGCTTTGAGTTTCACAAACAAGGGGTCATCCTCACTCTCAAACCTCCTGTCGAACATGATACGGTACATGTTATTGTACATCATCAATTGCAGCCGCTTCCTCAAGACGATTCCATTAGTCGCCGCCTCCGGGTTCTTCTTCACATCCTCGACCACTTGAGCAATTTCGTCCTCCCATCCGAAACGGTACTGTTGGACCACCTTGTTCGTGAAGAAGGGGACGGTCATGATTCGTCGCATTTTGCGCCAATGCTCACCGTAGACCGTGAACACCATGTCTTGGCCTTTACCAGTGAAGATATCGAAGACCACGTTACGGGTACGTGATCCGAACTCTACACCTTGAGTGTGCAGAACTTCTTTAGCGAGGTCGGGTGAGGAGACCACCACAAGGTTACGTTGGCCCATGCGAAGCAAGAATATATTGCCGAATTTCTTGGCTAAATCGGTTAGGTTGCGGTGGTTCAGATCATCTCCAACTTGGAGCCAGTTACCGAATACGGGAACAGGGATAGGACCAGGGGGAAGTTTGAAACGCTTACCCCGCAGTTTAGAGATGGTGATAGCGAGAACAATGGCGAAGAAAAGGGCTATAAGGGATTTTTCCAAGAGAAGGAGATCCATGGTTCCGTGTCCTGAGTAGTTGGGGACTTGGTACTGGGCCTGCTGCCTGGGAGATGGATTGGGTACTCTTTTATAGCTGAATCTTTAACCGAAGGGGATCCGGTGGCTACATTGTGACAGAAGACGTTAGGTGCGCGTGGCAAGTGTGTGGGGCGGTGGTTGTGGGCTTGTGGTTGACGGAGTTAAATTTGACGGTTGCTTTTTTGGAGGGTAGGAGAAGTGGAGGGCGACGGGGCGACGATTCCACACCCACGGTGGTAGGTAAGGGAGTCGGTGGGCGAATGCACCTTTGAAAATGATATGGAATCATAAACGTGGTCTTCGATATCTGTGAAACCGGTAAATAAATAGCAATGCACCTTTCCCAAACGGGACAATAGGAAACCATTTGAAATTTTCAATTTCTATTTCATTATTCCAACACCCCCCTCCTCCCAACTTTATCTTTTTCTTTTTTTTTTTTTTTCCTTTTGATAGAACCAAACAAAAATATATTAAGAAGAAAAGTAGAAAACGCAACCCGACCCGATAAACCAACCAATCACTATTTGACAGGTGCACTTTCTTTTAGGCAGGAAGTGTAGGTTATCCGCGAACTGGTAAGTAATCAGCAATTCAGCATCAATAGACAGTTTTTTTTTCCTTTTGATAGAACCAAACAAAAATATATTAAGAAGAAAAGTAGAAAACGCAACCCGACCCGATAAACCAACCAATCACTATTTGACAGGTGCACTTTCTTTTAGGCAGGAAGTGTAGGTTATCCGCGAACTGGTAAGTAATCAGCAATTCAGCATCAATAGACAGTTTTTTTTTTTTCCTTCTTCCTTTTGTTTAGTTTTTTTTTTTTTTCCTTTCCTTCGTTTGTTTTTGGTGTCACCTGTATTAAATTTCAGGCTCACTTTGAAGATTACAAATACAAATATGTATAGCATAAATATATACAAAATAATATAAAATACAAGGTTTTGGGCCATGAATTGTTCAAACTTTAAACCTTTAATAATGTGATAATTGATGTGAAGTATATCCATAAAATCGATATATAATTTACATGGATTACCGATGAAAAATTCAACTAAAGAAAGAAATTACTAGAAGACAAATTCATAAAAATGCGGATTGAGAGTGAAATTTTGGGATTGTTCTTTTTTGGATTTTGATAGGGGGAAAGTTGGTTAATAGGATTTTTGTTCCCATTGACCAAGAATCCCATGTTTATTTTTTAGATTTATGCAGCAACTAGGGGAAATTTATATTCATGGTAAATAACTTTCCCACCTAGGGGGTAAATAACTTTATGTGGCAACGGTGTAAGTGATACCCATCTCCTAGGTGGGTAAATAACTTTCCCACCTAGGGGGAAAGTTGCTAACACTTGAATGGGACAAAAATGCCCCTTTTAATAATGGATTTTTATGTTAAAATGGTCATTACCTTTTTTACCTGAGAAATAAAAGAACATGGGTAAATGCATGATTTTTAAAAACAAACCGGTCAGGGGTCCAGTTACCGGTTCGAATGGTTCGATCGTTCAACCCGAACGGCCGACCCATTCTTACAAAAAATAAAATAATTTTTTTTAAAAAAATTGCAAAACGGTTAACCGGCCGGTTCAACGGTTTGCTGACCAAAATCAATGGTTTTAAGGGAAAAAGCGATTTTTGAGGAAAACGAAACCAGTCACTTGACCGGTTCCCAGTTTTTCCGGTCCGGTCCGGTTTTGAAAACAATGGATAAATGAACTTCACCGGGTAAATGTTTGCCAGAAAAAACTTACCCAGGTAATAGCATTTACCCAGGTAAGTAACTTACCGAAAAGCAAACGAGGCCTTTATACCATTTCTATTTACACCGAAAACAAAAACGGACTTAATAATGACATACATGCTAAAATAGTAAAATAATAAAGAAAAAAATATATTGCAAATGGCAATGAAATACAATGAACTAACGGTTCAGGAATCCACATTCTTTGAACCCGTGTGTTCACTGAACACGTGAATCCACCAATGAGAGATGATCATGTTGTCTGAGCAAAACCAAGCTGACGTTAACGGGCGTTTGAACATTAGTTAAATGAATCTGGTTGAATCGGATAAAAAAGGGCAAAAGAAACTTAAAATCATTCGTTCTTTTTTTCTAAGGCAAAACCATTCACTCTTTTGAATTATTTAGGATTAGGCCGGATGTGAGAATTTATTCTTACTCCCTCCCATTCTCTCCTCAAGCCCTAACACAAAAAGCAACCCATCGACGATTTCACTGCACAACCGACGTTCGTAAGTGGGGGATCCACCGATGGCAAGAAATCAATCAGGCTAGTCTTCTTTTTATTCTTATTTGAATCTTCTTCTTCTCCTCCTACTCCTTCCATGCAAACTTTTTTTTTTTTTTTTTTGCTTTTTAATGCTTCTGGAGTCGGCATTACCCCTGAACTCATTTCTCTCTGAAACAAACATCTGCTTCCCCAAGTCGGTGCTACCTTGATTGAAGGAAACCTATAAAAACCCCAAAAGTAGAACTGGATCCAGTTATTTGTTACTCTGGTGCCCTTTGTCAAATGCAACAGAACTGAATTCCTTGTCTATTTAATGCAGTTCTATGAGACTTATTGCACTGCTTTGAGAGCTGGAAACCTAGAATTTGGACTACAGAAATGAACTCTCTAAAAGCAATTCTCTTACTAGAATTCCAAGATTGAATGCTATTCGAGTTCATCTCATTGTAAAAATTCCGAAGTGATTTCATGTTCTTAATGCATGGTTGTTCACCGTACATGAGTAATGCCTGTACATGTTTTTTATGAAACTAATACAACATTTTGCCTTGACCTTAGAATAAAAAATATATATATATTGATTTGCTAACCTTGAGGAGTTCAAGGAAGAACTTCAGACCACCTCAAACCAAGCTCTATTACTTGGTGATACAAATATGTTGCACGTAAAAAATAAAACTTCGATGTTTTTACTCTTAAATTTAATTTATAGCTGCTTACAAAGTCTATAACATGCAGAAAAATGCCCATCTTGATTTGGTGAAGCAAATCAGGCGTAGAGAGTTAACTGTTTTCTTTTTGGAACTTCAATAGATTGCCTTCTATCAAGGTACTGATGATTTGGGGATGTGGTTGTTAGTTTCATAAAAAAAGGGATTCAGGTACCACCAGCTTCAGAGGGTGTTTGGTTCCATGGGTGTTTATTAAATAAACATTGTCACATGGGTGCCACTTCAGCAGTTCCTCTCTCATGTTTTTTTGTACACATCAAGAATGGCAAAAGTGGACTTCGGCTTCTGTGCATGCCTATCATTTAGGAAAGTTATTTTTTAAATCTTTCATAATCAGTATGGAGTTTTTTCACTGCTCAAATAAAATATAAATTTTAAATGAAAAAAAATAAACCAAACCAAACAGATACTAAGAAGCATTCACAAACAATAAAAATCCCTAAAAAAATAATAGTATAAAAAATGATATCGACATTAACCGGAAACCTAGAACGGCTACCGCCAACATTCTCTCTCTTTCTCCTGCATGGTGGTTCCAGACTTTCAGTCTTGAAATCTACAACGGGTAGGGAGGAGGATAGTTGCCTTGGTAGTTGGTAGCTGTGACTTGAACAGTAAGACATACTGACATTATGCATTTTAGAATCTTCCTAACCAATTAGCAGAGGAATACGGCTGTGTTGACTTTTGATCCTTTCAACCGAAAAAACAAAATCATCCTTCCGATTTTCTGGCGATAGAGGGGGAGATCGATCATCAATGATGCATTCGGGGTTCGTCTGCCGACGTCAGAGGTAGCCTATGTGTCGCCTTTTACTCCATTAGATGAAACATAAAATACAGAATCGGCTCGTTTCAATGTTTCTCTTCGTCGTTTGATTAAAAAAAATAGGAAAAAGAAAAAGAACAAAAAAGCTAAGAAAATACCGAAGTTTGAATGATTTGCCTTCGAAGGTTAAAGCGATACCACACTTAACAATTTTATTTTATTTTTATTGTTGAGACTTGAAAGGAGTATTGTTCTTTTATCGTATTATAATATCGGTTGTTTTTATCAATTATTCATTTTTTGGGCCTTTTGGCTAAGATCGAGTGTAGTATACTAGTATATCTGTTTCTGTTCTTACTGGTTAAATTTATTATTATTATTACAACTTAAGTGGCTATTGGGTAATCTGGGAGAGTGTCTTGGTGGTCAAAATGCAAACCATAACCAATCAGTCATTATTACATAAGAAAAAAAAGGAATATACATGAATTCTGGACTCCAATATATAATATTTGATATATACGGCCTGTGTGTGTGAAATAAATATATGCTTATTGTCGAAGTCAATTTTTTGAAGCCATGTTGAAGTCAATTTAATTACTGTATTAAAAAAATATACTTATTACAAAGTCAATTTAAGAGCTGTATTTTAATTAAAGATTCATGGGTTCAAGTGTTATAATTTACTTGATTTTATTAACTTTAAATGATGTTGAAGACATTTTTATTTCTTTTTTTTTTAATATAACATATTGTTATCGTCCTTTTTTTTTATTTCAGCAGATATCAAATATTAGGTCAGTCTAGTTTCAGAATATCCCAATACAACTATAATTAATATAAATATTTATTAATATTCCTAGATATCTATGTTCTATTTACATTTATCATAAAAATGTTTTGTACCAATTTTTCCCTTAAGACAAAAGTGCTTTTATTTATTACTTTCACAATTAGATGCCATTAGCTGCCACATAATAAATCGAACAATAAAAAAAAAGCTTCCCGCTGGGGAAAATTTCAAAAATAATGTTTCCTCCAACGATGTTTCTCGCATAATATGAGAAAAACATTTTGTTGATAAACGGATTTTACCAAACAAATTTTCATGATCCATTGGGGGAACTCCTAGCTATTTGGTGTTAAGCTTAGGGGTGAGCATTATTCAGTTAAAATAATAAAAAAATGAACCAAAATTTTCAGTTTTGGTTAATTCGATTTTTTTAATATTTTGATTTTTAGAATTAGAAATTCGATTAACAAAATAAACCAAACTAACT